ATTTGCTGTGATTTAATTGGAATTAACAAATATAAAAAATAAAAAAGTTTCCCCAACGGAGCTTGGCTACAGCAGGCAGTCATCATCCTCAGTAGAAGTGTTGTCACATGAGCAGGAGGCCACAGGAGAAGAAAAGGCGCTTTGCTTAGGGGCGGGATGCAGGATAAAGGTTTTCCTTTTCTAATATCACAATACAGGATTTCAGTGTTTCCTCTACCTTTACAAGTTTCCACGGGGAAACGGACCGGGAGGGGGGGTACGCCGGTGCGAGCGTGCGCACGTGTTGGGGCGGAGCTGCCGTGCCCAGGAAGTTGTGGTTTTTAAAAATCTGGCAGGGGCTTACTTCATTACTTCGATACCTGATTCCATTTTTCTTCTGCCTCTCGCGATGTGAGAAAATCAAAACAATAAGTCAACGGGAAATTGTGAAAAAATGTGAAGCTTTTGGTTTGAGAGAGAGGTCATTGTTCACTGGGTTAATCTGTCAGCGTAGTAAACAGATGTAATCTGATGGCCTGCTGGATTTGACCACCCGGGGAACCTCCTGCAGACAGATGGCATAATACGTCACACACACAGTGCATGGAGATCCACACACACACACACACACACACACACACACACACACACACACACACACACACACACACACACACACACACAAGGGCCAATGAGAAGCAGGCATATGCAAAGGATAAAAATGTATACACACGTATATATTTCATATTTGCATCTTAAAATTGCATTTGTGACTATGCCACATGCTTCTTTTGAATAAATCCTAGTTTGAATGCAAGTGGCTTTGCTATTAACTAATAGTGGTGGTAAAGTTAAAAGTACAATATCTAGTAGTAATGGTAAAGTGACTGTACTGTACTCTTTCTAGTCTTCCAACCAGTCAAAGCAACTTAACACTACATGTTAACATTCACACACGGAGGGAAGGAGCTACCATGTCACCACACGTCATCGACGTGTACTCGCAGAGCCGCTCCTGTCGATCCTGTGATTGCAAGACAAGCCTCCACCACAGTCGCCCGATATCTCCCTGTCGTCTATCGCTTAGGGCTCGCAGGGATTGGATGAGAGAACCCTACAGACGAACAACGGAAGAAGACCTTTTTCTTTACTAGGAAGGTACAAAAAGGACCCAACGGTGGTGTTGCCTGAAGAAGTAGTACTACTACTATGTGACAGTACGCATCTTAAGGCATTTACTCCAGAATAAAGCAAAACCATAAAACTCTACAATTTGTATATCTACCCAAGATGTAGAAAGATTATTTTTCTTTATCCAGTACCCTGATATATTAATTGTAAGGTTGACCGTTGGTTCTTTCACAAATCATACAATGAGATCTTTATTATTTCCATATTATGATATCCAAAATCAAGGACAATTTCTAGTCTCATATCTTAATATTGATATAATTATATGCTGCCGCTCTACATGATTGCCTTTGAATGACTGATTAATAGCAAACATAACAGACATGAATAAATAATCATTTGATCTCTATTACAGTACATAAATAATGCACACGGTTACTTTCATACACTTCAATCATTCCAAACATATGTGAGGACACACTGAAATAAACCCACGATGCACACAGAGAGCTCCATGGGGGGTAGAGGATGTTAAATCTGTTTGGTCGACGCCCCCAGCTTCTCCCCCCGGAGGAAAAGCAGATGTCAAAGAGCATAAAACAGCCATCCAATCAGTGGCAGCCCTCTCAGCGCAGACTAATCCACATAAGAGCTTTCCCAAACTACAGTAAGTGTGCCCTCATTACGCTGGGCTACACACACTAGGAATCCCTAAACGGGTTCTGTCCCGGGACATTACACATCTGCACATCTGCCCGATGAAGAAGTGTCAGCTCCAACTGCATCAGCGCAGCGTCACACCATGAACAAACATCTGTACGGCTCAGGCTCAAAGTCACGTCTAAATCAACTGCATGAGGTGAAGCAGGCTGGTGAAGTTCTCAAATGCATAATATGATTCCTACTGGCGATGAATACATTCATTTAATTACACACACTTGGTTTTATTCATCAATCCACTCACTGTGTAATTCATTGTCCCTCTATACGTCTAGAAATATCCATCTGCAGTTGTCGTGTGCTTTAGCTGCTGAACACCATCTTCTTCTGGGACACCATTGATCGTACAACGTCTCGCTCTATTTTTTAGTTCACTGCCTGAACAAAAATGAACGATTCAACCAGTGATGAATGAAATTGTTTCTTACAGGACTGGGCCTTTGTCGAGGTCGTCATTTGACTTGTCATAGGAGGAAAAAGTCACGGACCCGTTCATCTAGAGCAGCGTTTTAGACCACGGACCCCCTTCTACATCCCAACATCCCACCTAAAAAGAAAAAGCAACAGAGCCTATTTATAGCTGCAATCATGTTAAATGTTGCAGTATGAACACAAACTGAACAAAGGGGCGAACAACATCTATCTTATTAAACCGTAACAAAAAACTAGAGGTTACTTTTAAACACGCACAGGCTCAGAAGCAGATTACATCACATTTCATTTACAATTAACCACCGGTTACATTAATTAAAGTTCAAATTATAAAATGTCACACATCACGACTGATCATCAGAGGTAGATGAACACGCACCCAAATAGTGGCACATAGTCTCAGAAATATGATATGAAAAAAAAAGGAAGGAGCCATTTGAGCATTTCACACGCAGCAGAGAGGAGGGGGAGAGGTGAGGATTGACTCTCCTCTCTGCCTCTCTCTGTGTCCCCCTCCTCTCTCCCCCTCTCTCTGTCCCCCTCCTCTCTCCCTCTCTCTGTGTCCCCCTCCTCTCTCCCTCGCTCTGTGTCCCCCTCCTCTCTTCCTCTCTCTCTGTGTCCCCCTCCTCTCTCCCCCTCTCTCTCTCCCCCTCCTCTCTTCCTCTCTCTCTGTCCCCCTCCTCTCTTCCTCTCTCTCTGTGTCCCCCTCCTCTCTCCCCCTCTCTCTCTCCCCCTCCTCTCTTCCTCTCTCTCTGTCCCCCTCCTCTCTTCCTCTCTCTCTGTCCCCCTCCTCTCTCCCTCTCTCTCTGTCCCCCTCCTCCCTCCCCGTCTCTGTGTCCCCCTCCTCTCTCCCTCTCTGTGTCCCCCTCCTCTCTTAGGACTGGTAGCTCAAACTGTCCACCAACCTTCAGCTGATCATACTTGTATGAATATTGGGAATGAATGAAGTTAGCTGTTAGCTGACGTTAGCTGCACCAACCAGACTGACTAACTAGTGTGTAGAAAACAGTCCAACCGCAGCAGCTGAAGTGCATTTATTTATTAATTTGTACGTTTTTCATTTTAAATACAAATCTTACAAAGATCATTTGTATAATTCATGTTTTTATTTAGTGAAAAATCCCACTCATATGATTACACCATTAGACCTCCATTACATGTTTCCTCTCGCCCGCCCGCAGGGCTGCGTGTGGCACACTGTGTATGTGCGATGTAGAGCGCTGAGTGGGGCGTTACCGCTCGCTGCTGCAGTGTGGCCTCTCCTCCCGCCTGCAGCCTGTCAATACATCTGTCAATAACAGCTCCATCTATATCACACATACTTGTTTTCAACGTCATTTATAGCTCCACCGTATCCCGGAACCGCCTGCTCGTACCCACAACGTTTGTGTCCAAATGCAGTCCTCTAGTTTGCTCCAGTGGGTATTTAGTGGGTTTGCCAGTGCGCCATCGCTGGATCTATATTTACATCTGTCAATGTGTCTTCCATGGAAAAGGCTTGTTGATGTCTTTACTGCTGAGACACACATTATTAAGCATACATTATTAAGCTGCACTACAGTCATGTAAAGTCCTTCACACAATTTCTGCATGGAAATGTCCAACTCCTGCAGAGTAGCAGGCTGTGTTTTTTATTTTGTACTAGAATCCTTGAGGATGTTTGTCCTAGATGATGCATGTTGAGTAAAACGGTTGTATTAAACATAGCGGCTCTATTACCGCGTGAGCTTTGAGCCGCCCGGGAAAACACTCACTAGTACATAACCAGAAATATATATATTTAAGCTAATCAGTGTTAGCAAAGTAGCTCTCACAATGCTGATGAACTTTCAAAGGATACGTCAACATTTTATCTGTTATTTACAGACCTAAAGATTTATTTATAATTTATTACTTAATATCAACGATCAAAATGCTGTTTCCTGCCTGTTTTAGGCGAAGGTTCCTAAAAGTCTGCATTCATTATGTTTTCATTATTGACCATTTAATACAAATCGTTACGCATATTTAGGGTTTTCCCCAGAATTGTACTCTCTAATATAGGATATACTACCAGGATGATATGAAGATGGTTCACTGGTGGGCCTCAGAGTGCCATCTAGTGGGCTGCAGAGGTACAGACTTTTTCTAATTAAAGATCATTTTACAAAGGGTCACATCACTTTAAAAAACTAAGTACAACTCAAACGCAGCATAGTATCAATGCACAGTAACGTTTGAATATCAGCCAGCTAGCTAACATTCTTTCAGATGCAGTGTGGGAAGGATGGATGGAAAGGGCCACAAACAAACTTATCAACTGAAGTTGGACACATGTTCCTAAAAAGTTTGAACTTAACCAAACCATTGAGTAGAAAGGGCCCGGCATTTGTGTAATGAGTAGTTAATTAGCTCTGTGCTCTGATGATATCGGATCTGATTCGTTGTAGAATGGTTGAGTTCTACTCCTCACGCCAGTGGATTACATCTATTTGTTGGTTTGAATGGATCTTAAAGTGCAAAGAAAAGGCATCCGTCAGTATGTTAGGTGTCTGTGATACATCAATGGCCATTACAAGTCATTACAGAAGTTGCCTTTGGCTCTTTCTTGCTCCACCTTTGGATTGTGTTGGTGTACAGTAGTGGCAAGCAACCGTGGAAAATGTCTTCCTGTGAAGCAGTGAGCCCGGGGAAACGTTTCAGCTGTTTAAAAAGTCCAAAACGTGACCGAACTCATTGATGATCCCCGTGTGTTTCAGTACGGACGGTCGGACAGCTACCGCGTGGCCACCACGCAGGACAAGGATGAGAAGGAGTCGCCCAAGAAGAAGGCCGGCAAGGACATGGATGACCTCAAAAAGGAAGTCCCCATCGTAAGTGCACCGCTCCCTTCGTCCTGCGACCTTGTTGCCGTCTCTTACACATTTTGTAGTGGCCTCATGTTCACCTGCTATGAATAGTCTCATTTGATGTCCCGGCCGTGCAGAGAGTCCTTCCTAGATAGAACATCCTGGCCTGAGTCCAGCACGGGACGCGCTGCGCTCTGATCTAATCTCCTCCTCTGAAAAGGAGATAACAGATGTGGTATTCGGTAACAGCTGCTTGTGTGAGGGAATGTGCCACAGAAATATAATCGTATTGTGGAAGGATTTGCTCCTGCACGGGGTGGGAAGTCAAAGCCTCAGGGGGGGGATTAGAAAACTGAATGAGCTGGGTAAATATCTTAATTTGCAGCAAATGATATCACATGATTCACACTCTTTTCTTTGTAGACGGAACACAAAATGTCTGTTGAGGAGGTTTGCCGGAAATACAGCACTGATATCGTCCAGGTAGGTCTTTCACTGACACTTCAAGACTTCACCTGGTTGTTTCTGTCCTGATTCAACACAGTGCTGATGATTCAAAGAGTCTATTGGGTAGATTTTATTGTCTCCACCCACTGCCCGTTCCTTCCCTGCCTACTCTCCTCTGCTCATCCATCTCCTTCCATCTTTTCCACTTCCTCTGCCCCTCTCAGGGTTTGACCAACGCCAAGGCAGCAGAGTACCTGATCAGGGACGGCCCCAACGCCCTGACCCCGCCCCCCACCACCCCAGAGTGGGTCAAGTTTTGTCGGCAGCTGTTCGGCGGCTTCTCCATCCTGCTGTGGATCGGCGCCATCCTCTGCTTCCTGGCCTACGCCATCCAGGCGGCCACGGAGGACGAGCCCGCTGGCGATAACGTGAGTGGAGAGTGTGGCTGCGTGATGGTCGTAGGACTGGATGGACACGATGATGTCATCATTCAACACCTTGCTGGCCTTGATAATCATGTGTCCTGCACTTCATTCAGTTTCTCTTTTTCTATTGCGTTTACCACACAGGGCATTTGTGTAATTTTGTGCTACCATTGGTATATAAATGTAGTCAACGGTGCTTTTAGATTGCTGCTATCTTTACTCTTTATAAAAGGCTAAACAGAAAAGCCTAGTTTATGCTTCTGCTTTTTCCGAGCGACGCAAGGACACGCAGACGCCAGACCCCCTTCCGTGTCCCTTGCGTGTCCCTTGCGTGCCTTTTCACACCTCCTTGAGTGCGTCGACCTATTTTTATAGACTAGCATCAAAAGCTACGCAGCCTCCTGCAGAGCACCAGGCTGCGATTGGTCTGCTAACTACGTCCTTTACGGAGTCTCACATTTCCGTTTTCATAGCACAATACTGCCATTATTAAAACAAAGAATGTTTAGGAGAGAACGGGTCAGATTGAAGAACTTTTGTGGGAAGAAATGTGTAAATATGACCACTTATACAAGCAAGCCCGTCATTGGCGGACTATAAGGGACGCACGGAGGGCCTCTGATTCATGGAGGGAGATCTCCACAAACGCCCGGTTTCCCTGTCGAGGGGAACAAAGTTGTGGAGGAAAATCCGGGACAAATGTGTCCTTGATGAAAAGCAGCAGTGTGGATGCACGGGGCAATAAAGTCTATGATAAATAAATAAACCAACCAAAAACTTCCACACACAAAGACGTGACTCTCTAGGTCGTCTCGAACAAAACACGTTACTCCACCTGTTGTTCTGGAGGTGAATCGCTTTGCAACACACGCAAGACTTTTAGAACCATGAATGGACGGTGTGTAAAGACGCAGACGCTTGCACCAACCTTTAGCCGTTAGAAATATCTATATTTAAGTATTTTATGAGATGAATATTTTAAATTCAAATGTTTTTTTGCATTTAGACTGTGTGTGTGTGTGTGTGCGTGTGTGTGTGTGTGTGTGTGTGTGTGTGTGTGTGTGTGTGTGTGTGTGAGCGAAAAAGGCAGAAAAGGTTGAAGCCACTAATCAATATTAATCATTTAAATAGCAACATGATGATAAAGCTTTGACCATTCAAACTATTGGGTAATCCCAATGAAGCCCTAACTCTCGGTTAGCAAAAATGATCAATAATCATGTCAGTTACAGTGATCTGATCTATTAATCTCTTCACTGCCTCTACGCTGTGAACCATGCAAACTGAACGGACGTGTCTCCATCCATAGATATCCATGTGCTTTATCGGTAAGGCCTCCCCAACATCGCCCTATCTCTCCGTCCCACTGCGTACCTGTGAGAAGCCAGATAGGAGGAAAAGAAACGGATGGAAGGTTAAACAAAGAACTCCACAAGCGATTTGCTGAGTCACCACTCCTCATGAGCATGGCCTTGTCAGGCTGCGTCAGATAACCCGTCGTCCGTGTGACAGACACCACCCGGTTGGCGTCCACTGAGCCCGCCGTGGGGGGGCGCGTGAATCACGGCGGTGGGGATGGCGGGCTAAGAGGAGGCCGTTCATGGGTCAGCAGCGCTTCATGTCAGGGTCACGCAGCGTAGAGCCGGGGGACTGAGGCTAAGCGCCGCTGACACGCACGGCATGTCGGGACAAAATACTCAGTTTAGACCGGCGGTGGGTGGGGGGGGTTCAGGGGGTGAAACAACTGCTGTGACGAGTCAGCAGGAGTTACACACCCAGCATATAAACGCACACCGACGGCTAACAGTTAGGTCAGGATGTACAGCTTCTATGGGCATCCTCTAAACAATAGAGCGTAGTCTTCAACCACTGCATGGACAGCCAAACCACACTGCCGCCAGCTGCAGGGTGAAAACACTCATTACAAATCGTGTTATATTGAGAAGCCTGAACGTCCTGAAACAGAGCGACAGAATGTGTCACTGATGGATTTTCAACTCTCCGTCTGTCTCCACTCGTCATGTGATAGATTCTCGGATAAAGTTGAAGTTAAACATGAGGTGTCATCTCTGTTTCCCTCTCTTCATCCTCTCTTTGCAGTTGTATCTGGGCATCGTGCTGTCAGCCGTCGTCATCATCACCGGTTGCTTCTCCTACTTTCAGGAGGCGAAGAGCTCCAAGATCATGGAGTCCTTCAAGAACATGGTTCCTCAGGTACTGGAAGCTCAGCAGTTCAACCAGGATACTGTGATCGTTGTGTTCCAATGGGTTTTAACTCAAAGTTACATGGTGAAAATGACCACGCTTAAGATTCAGTTGGATTCCACAACATGGTTAGGCAAGCGGAAGGTCTATAAAGTCTATTAAATACAACGGTAACGCAGTATGAGCAAATCTTTTGCTCCGTATTCCACAAAAATAGATAATTGGACCCAGTTTTCTCAAGCCACATATCTGATATCAGACATTGAAATGGCTTCAGACTATTAAATCCAGAGAAAATGTCTTTGTAATGAATGTTCATACTGCTAAATATTCCTGTTAGCTGTGTAAATAGAAAGTGTTAGCATAATCAAATATGAATACATTATGCAAATATAACTTAATCACCTTTCATCCATCCACTCAACGCTCACCACAAAGAAGGTGTTGGGCTCAGTGGTCCATGACAATCGCTTTGTTAATCTGCTCAGCCCTGACTGTAAGCACTCTAAAGTATGAGGTTGCTCAATAATTCACACAGTAATTCCTAGATGTATTAAGGCTGAGTAATAAAAAAGAATGATGGAAACAAATCAGGTCATAATGACTATGTTACGGTGGGACGCTGTTTATTAGGTGCACAGTGGTATTTATGAAGCTGCAGGCCACCGCACCGTGTTATCACAACTAGCACACTACTTCTTTTTACTTCTACAATCTGTGATGTTTCTTTCATATGCTTTAGTTTCTAGGCTGGCATCTTTACATATTTGCTCTCTCTCTCTTCTCCCAGCAAGCCCTGGTGATCCGTGAGGGAGAGAAGATGCAGATCAATGCGGAGCAAGTGGTGGCAGGAGACCTGGTGGAGGTGAAAGGAGGAGACAGGATCCCTGCCGACCTCCGCATCGTCTCCTCCCACGGCTGCAAGGTGGGTTCCAGGCACAGATGCACTGCTGAAGTCACGGTAAAGCCAAGGTGGGATAGGACTTGTGCAGCAAAGCTTTGCACAATGTGCCACACACAAAAACCTGTTTTTTTGCTGCGTGCAACGGTTTTCCCTTACACTTGGTGGTCAGCAGCTCTCAGACACGGGCGTGCGTTCCGTCTCTCTCACCAAGCAGCGTTGATGTAAGCGGAGTCTGCAAGCTGCAATGTGATAATAAAACCCACCGTACGGATCCTCTCTTGCGGTTCGGCCCACATGTGAACCCTATCCATTTCACAGAGTGAAGGAAAGTTTAACCATCTGATTATCGTTATCGCTAATATTTAGTAAAAATATGCAATCAGGAGATCAGTATTAAGACTTTCTATTAGCCGTCCTTGTTAGTTACATTGTTAAAAATTAATCAGTTTTGAAATCGAGAACAGGGTTGAAAACGTTGGCAGCATCAGTGCTAACAGGCTTGTACTCTTACATTACGATGGTCTGTTAAGTGAAAGTGCTCATTGGCAGAAGTGCCTTTTAATATTATCATAATGTCCTCTAATGCGATGTTGTAAGATGTAGTGAGAAACTACATCTTACAAGTGAGAGCCTTGAATGAATCCAGATGTTTAAAATAGTTATTGGAGATGAATTGTGACACTTGTGTCTCCTCTCTTTTGCACACTTAACCAGGTGGACAACTCATCCCTGACCGGCGAATCAGAGCCCCAGACCAGGTCACCTGACGGTACCCATGACAACCCTCTGGAAACCCGCAACATCGCCTTCTTCTCCACCAACTGTGTCGAGGGTACGGTCGCCATCACCGTTATCGTCGTTACAACTGTCCCATCTGTCACATTTACTGTGCAAAGTATTTGCTGTTGGGGTTAGAAAACAGTTCTGTGTGTGCCTGTGTGTGTTTATTTAAATAGTGTGCGTGTGTGTTTGTATTTTTCCGGCTCAGTGCTCAGATAGTGCTCATTAGCTCTCGCTGTGGGCCATGGTCAACTGTTGGCAAACTTGACCCCACTGAGCCAATTCCATCCCATCATATAAGCCTGCGACTCGCAATAAGCTTGTGACAATGTGTGGAAAAGGAAAACCACGATGTGTGGCGCCCTCGTGTGGACACTTTCTTCCATTGCATTTCCTATCTAAGCGCCATCCCTCTCAGCTCTGTCCATACATACCATCATCTACCAGTAGTTCCCAAACTAGGGGTCGCGACCCCCAACACACAGCCACAGTAAAAAAAGAAAATCATGAGGAGTTGACATGTGTTGTGTCCAAACCTTGCAAAGAGGCAGATCTTACAATGTCCCTACATCCTCAAGGGGGGCCTGATAGAAAGAGTTTGGGAACCATTCAGCCACATAATTTCATTCTAGCTCCTCAAATCTGAATATTCACTTTCAGTCTGTTTATTCCTGACTTGACCTGAAAAAAGTGAGTTATTTAATAAAACCCAAACAAACTGCTCCCTCTGCTCTGATTGTTCAGGAACGGCGCGCGGCATCGTTGTGTGCACTGGCGATCGCACGGTGATGGGCCGCATCGCCACTCTGACCTCAGGCCTGGAGACCGGCAAGGTACCATTTGCTGACTATAACCAGGCTCTTCTATGTAATGGTTCAGCTTCTCATTCACATATTACAGCTAAGAAATGACCTACAGTCATTAAGGTTTCTCAAACTGATTATGTTTCATTAAATGTTTCATTAAGTCCACAGCACCTCATTCGCTTTAAAAAATGTTTATATCCCGAGGTCAGATTAAAAAGAAGCCAATTATCCTCTTCTAACAGTCCAAACACCTTTTCCTCCTACTGCTCAGACTCCCATTGCCAAGGAGATCGAGCACTTCATCCAGATCATCACAGGCGTGGCCGTCTTCCTCGGCATGTCCTTCTTCGTGCTGTCAATCGTCCTGGGTTACTCCTGGCTGGAAGCCGTCATCTTCCTCATTGGCATCATTGTTGCTAATGTGCCGGAGGGTCTGCTCGCCACAGTCACCGTGAGTAGGCGGAGCGATAAGAGACGCGTACGTGTGTGAGAGAAGGGTTGTGTTTTCAGCAATGCGAGCAAGGATCCAGCATCAATGTTGCTATATTGGCATATAAAGTTATCACATGAGAAAGTGTTTGCGGGAGCACATAATAGTACTCTTTTAACTTGATGTATTTAGGATGAGCATTCACATATCTTATGTGAGGAAATATGTATTATATATAATATTTTCCAATATCAGGCTGCCCTATTGGTAGTTGGAGTGCATGTCCAGTTGTATCAATTCCTTCATCTGGAGCAGTTTTTCCTGTCTCTCTTGTTTTGTCACTTGTACGTTTCCTCGTCAGCTCACGTTCTTTTTCCAGATTTGGGTCAAACAGAAATCTTTCATGAGCTTCATATATTCCATATATTAGATCAATTCTAAGAAGCTACACAAAATCAGGGAGCACAGCGAACGACAGCTTTTAAAATGTTCTTGACACTGTTGTGGCCGTGACACGTCTCCCTGTACTCTCATCAGAAGGCCGACTCTCCACCTTTACATATGCTCTACTGTGGATTCTGTGATCCAGAGTATTCATTTGCTCTAGATTAATCTATTCCCCCCTCGCAGTGTGTGGTTCCACCCACCTCTAAGTGTGCGTACTGTGTCGTCTCGTCCCTGCATCCCGAATCTAGCTTGTGTTTCTATCGGTGTGTTGTAGTCGCTGTGCGTGTGCATCTCTGTGTTTTTAACATTCTCTCTGTGTCACAACCCGTCCCCATGACGGTGGTGTACTGTCTTGTGTTTGTAGATCTCTCTTTACATTTCTCCTTCTCCCAAAACAGTCCCACGTGTGGTTTGTGAGTTTGTGTTCTCTCCATCTTTCTCTCCATGTGTGTGTCTCTCTCTCTTTTCCAGGCCAGTCGTGGTGCTGCCTGCAGCGACAGCGTCTAGCTAATGTAATGATATTAGGCTAATGACCAGTTAGCTTGTTGAAATGGATTTGGCCTCCCTGTGCTTGGCTACTTCTGTTTGGTCTTTTGCCATAATTGGCATGATGGCGTAACCCACCCGCCGCTCTGCTCCACCGCTTCACTTCTTCACGCCTCAATCTCTCTCTGCATCGCCGCTGTTTGGGCCGTTTTTCATTTTCGGTTGTTAGTGCATTTTGCTGTAGAGGAGCATTGTTAAGTGCTGGATGAGCGTCTCCAGGTGTCGGGGGGGGTTCTTCTGGGTGGGCTTAGTTTCAGGTACAGTATGACACTGAGTTCAGTTGATTGCCTGGAGATGTTCATCCCTACTCTGTGTTTTACATACAGATAGTAATTATGTTTTCTCTTTTTCCTCTGGTTTCCTTTGTGTTCTGTCAACGACTCCTCTCCTTCCGTCCGTTTCTCTCTCTCTCTCTCTCTCTCTCTCTCTCACTTCTCCCAGGTTTGTCTGACACTGACGGCTAAGCGAATGGCTCGCAAGAACTGCCTGGTGAAGAACTTGGAGGCTGTGGAAACACTGGGCTCCACCTCCACCATCTGCTCCGACAAGACGGGCACGCTGACCCAGAACCGCATGACCGTGGCCCACATGTGGTTCGACAACCAGATCCACGAGGCCGACACCACCGAGGACCAGTCCGGTGAGGTTTGCCTGCCTCTGCCCCTGCCTCCATGCAGCATGCACACTATTCCAAATATTTGTGATATTAAACTCCCGATGCTGTTTAACAAAGGAGACATTATTTCCGGTTATTTGTTAAAAGAGCTGCACAAGGCTTTGGCTCCCTCTCCATGACTCACAACTGGGTTGCAACATCGACTCAAATGAAGGGGTACACACTTTGCTGCCAGCTCTTATTCTGTTGATTTGAATCAATCCAGTTGTTGCAGGGCTGCTTGGGTAAATGGCCTGTACTTGTATAGCACTTTTCTAGTCTTCTGACCACTCAAAGCGCTTTAACACTACATGACATCATTCACCCATTCACACCCATTCACACACTGATGACAGGAGAACCACACACAGTGACACCTGCCCATCAGTAACTACCATTCACACACTGTAGTCGCAGCTACAGGAGCAATGTTGGGTTAAGTGTCTTGCCCAAGGACACATCGACATGCGGGTTAGCAGAGCCTGGGATCGAAGAGACAACCCTCTGATTGGAGGACGACGGTGCTCCCCACTCACCCACAGTCGCCCACAAGCTGAGGCACCTGTCAATAAAGGTTTGTCCCTCCCACCGGTTATTCTCTAGGCTGCTCCTTCGACAAAAGCTCCACCACGTGGGTGTCTTTGGCCCGCATCGCTGCCCTGTGCAACCGCGCTGTGTTCAAGGCCGGCCAGGACGCTTTGCCCATCCTGAAGCGCGATGTGGCCGGCGACGCCTCCGAGTCCGCCCTGCTGAAGTGTATCGAGCTGTCCTGTGGCTCCGTCAAAGCCATGAGGGAGAAGAACAAGAAGGTGGCCGAGATCCCCTTCAACTCCACCAACAAGTACCAGGTTGGTCCCATTTTGTTTGCGTTCAATGGGCTGAAACATCCGAGGACGCCACGTCCTTCTGAAAAGGTTCTCAAGCTGACGCTAAAGTCTGTTCCCATCAGCTCTCCATTCATGAAAATGACGATGAAAACGACAACCGCTACCTGCTGGTGATGAAGGGAGCTCCGGAGAGGATCCTCGACCGCAGCTCCACCATCATGTTGCAGGGCAAGGAGCAGCCCATGGACGACGAGATGAAAGAGGCCTTCCAGAACTCCTACCAGGAACTGGGCGGACTGGGAGAGAGGGTACTGGGTACGGAGGATGGGGACACAGAGGTCACTCTGCATAAAGCGCTGCTGTATCCTGTATCACATCCCGTATGTGTAATTCGTCGCTTCCTAAACCCGGCAGGTTTCTGCCACGTGTTCCTGCCAGAGGACAAGTACCCCAAGGGCTTCGCCTTCGACACAGACGACGTCAACTTCGAGACGGACAACCTTTGCTTCGTAGGCCTCATGTCCATGATCGACCCTCCGCGTGCTGCCGTGCCTGATGCTGTGGGCAAATGCCGCTCTGCAGGCATCAAGGTGGGCACCTATCGATTTATTAGTAGGATGAAATCGTTCTCCTCTCCCCATTGCTGGCACTCGTCTTCTCATTCTATTCCTTCCCTATGCCTGCTCTCCTCTTCACCGCCAACCGCTTTATCTTCTTCCTACGTCCATGTTTTAGGTAATTATGGTGACTGGTGACCACCCAATCACAGCCAAGGCTATTGCTAAGGGTGTGGGCATCATCTCCGAGGGTAACGAGACAGTGGAAGACATTGCTGCACGCCTCAACATCCCCATCAGCCAAGTCAACCCAAGGTAAGACAGGGAATAGAACCATGTCTACATGCATGGAAGACATAGCTTGGGCTTTTACGATCACTTTGACATTTTTATTATGGCCTCTCAGTCATTTTAGAGGTCATTCTTTGGGATTTATCTCAATCAGTAGACTATTTATTGAGAGTTCAACGGCCGTGTTATACGGTTAAACAGTGTTGTCTTTACTTTGCGAGGCCTTTGTATCACAGTGTTTTTTGCCTTCCTCTGGGTCGTGCAGGGACGCCAAGGCCTGTGTGATCCACGGCACCGACCTGAAAGACCTCGATCAGGGGGCGATGGACGATATTTTGAAGAACCACACTGAGATTGTCTTTGCCCGAACCTCCCCGCAGCAGAAGCTCATCATCGTAGAAGGCTGCCAGCGGCAGGTAAGCGCTTACATGCTGTTTGGCCCCGTGTGTCCCAACGAGAATGAGAACCCGCAAATACGCCGTCCTCCTCTGCTGTCAGGGCGCCATCGTGGCCGTGACGGGCGACGGTGTGAACGACTCACCCGCCCTGAAGAAGGCTGACATCGGCGTCGCCATGGGAATCTCCGGCTCCGACGTGTCCAAACAGGCTGCCGACATGATCCTGCTGGACGACAACTTCGCCTCCATCGTCACAGGAGTGGAGGAAGGTGAGGGAGCAAGGAGGAGGGAGCAAGGAGGAGGGAGCAAGGAGGAAGGAGAAAGGAGGAAGGAGAAAGGGCTCCAGAGTTTGTTTTTGGTGAAGAAGAAGAGTATACCTAAGATCTTTAGGTGACAATCATGTAGGTTACACATACTAGTAATGTACTGTTCGTTACATTTCAGACAGTACAAAGAGGTTTATTACTGAGAAGAGAAATTTGTTTCAAATAATATTTTTCCTCTTTATTTTTTAATACATTTCCTGTTATTACCATAATAGTGGTCAATAAATAGAATATAGATATAGAATAGTGTCAATAAATAAGATAACAAGAAAGGCATTTACGAATGCCATGTTGATAATAATAATAATAACATTAGGATGATTTAATATTACTACACAAAAGAGCTAGTGGTGTGTCAGATGAAATAATATTTCCACCATCTTTGTTATGTCCCAGGGATTATCCTCTTTCACTTCTCAAATAATCTAAATAAATAAATAATCTCAAATAAAACAATAATAAAAACTCAAGCTTTCATTTGTTTTGCAGAAGAACAATTCTGCTATACAAGTTATACAAGTAACATATCAAAGCTACTGCTCATCACTATAAACATATGTCAGCATCTTAAATATGTACGTAGCTTAAATTCTGTTTGTTGTGTTGAGATATATTCAGTTAATCTTTCTACATTCACAATTGTTACGGTAAAAAAGGATTGTTTGATATGAACATATTGCAACCTCACAGCATCTAGGGCCATCGTGACGATATGAAAGTCTAATGTCATTTCTTCATTATACCTTCTTCAAAAATACCAACGCAGAAACTGACGACCATTTATATTATTTTATTCACCTCCTTCATCACTACAGGCCGTCTGATCTTCGACAACCTGAAGAAGTCCATCGCGTACACTCTGACCAGCAACATCCCAGAGATCACCCCCTTCCTGTTCTTCATCCTGGTCAACATCCCGCTGCCTCTGGGCACCATCACCATCCTCTGCATTGACCTGGGAACAGACATGGTAACGGAAGAGACACGTTCACACACTGTAGCAGTCAGCGGCAATGTGTCCACTCAGGAGATAAAGAAGTGAATCATAGCTGTATATATATATATATATATATATATATATATGTACAATAGAAGGACACTAGGTGGCAGTGTGAGTCTAGTCTAGTTCATCCTGCCTGGACAGTGTCTATTTAAGATCCCCAGTTATTACTGCGGGCCCTGTTGACACGTAACTGACGGTGCCGTCGTCCTGTCTCCTCCGTCAGGTACCAGCCATCTCTCTCGCCTACGAAGCGGCAGAGAGCGACATCATGAAGCGGCAGCCCAGGAACCCACAGAGGGACAAACTGGTCAACGAGAGACTCATCAGTATCGCCTATGGACAGATCGGTAGGTGCCGTGCCGCACGTTCCCTTCTTTCTTGCTTTGCACTTTTGCCATCATCTTGTCAGAATGTAGCGTGTGCAAAAACTCTGTGTCTGCAGGTATGATCCAAGCTCTCGGCGGGTTCTTTGCATATTTCGTCATCATGGCTGAAAACGGTTTCCTGCCGTCCGAGCTCGTCGGCATCCGGCTCAACTGGGACGATCGCTCCAACAACGACCTGGAGGACAGCTACGGGCAGCAATGGGTATGATCTCACACAATGTTTGACCGACCTGGGGTCAGCGTGAAGTGCTGTTCACGTCCCCCTCTCGTGTATCCTGAGGTGCAATCGTGTTACTCCTCAGAATATGTCCTTCAACCACAGCTTCATGTCAATGATTAAAAAAAAAAGTATAAACGTGTCGTGCTGCCAACAATCTAAAGTCCAACCCAGACCACATTGTGATTGTCCTCCTCTCCCGTTGTCCAGACCTATGAGCAGCGGAAGATCGTGGAGTTTACCTGCCACACGGCGTTCTTCGTCAGCATCGTGGTGGTGCAGTGGGCAGATGTCATCATCTGCAAGACCAGGCGTAACTCTGTGTTCCAGCAGGGCATGAAGTGAGGAGTCATCTATGGCCCCAATTGGTCTGGTCCCGTTTGTGTCCCTCCTCTCCGGAGCTGCTCTGTTCTTTACAGTCTGCAGGAGAAGCGCTTTGAAGCCTTTGTGTGATCCAGGAGTAGATTAGCTGATGTTTATCGCCTCTCTACTAAGTGTGTTGCTGTACATAACTTTTCTTTCTGCCCTCACTTGTCTGGCAGGAATAAGATTTTGATCTTTGGGCTGTTTGAGGAAACGGCTCTGGCTGCTCTGCTGTCCTACTGCCCCGGCATGGACGTGGCCCTGCGGATGTACCCGCTCAAGTGAGTAACGCCTCCACACCGGGACGTGCACGCCTCCACGTTCCCTCGTGCACTGTGTGTGACTGCTTCCCCCCTCCCGCTCCCCCAGGCCCAGCTGGTGGTTCTGTGCGTTCCCGTACAGCTTCCTCATCTTTGTTTACGATGAAATCCGGAAACTCATCCTTCGCCGAAACCCCGGAGGTCAGATAACACACATGTTGTGCATGAAAATATCATCCAGGACCTCAACATTTGAAATAATCATTTGTCAAAGCAATCAAAATGATTTGATGAATAACTCTCTGGTTCTTCTTGTTTCCCTGCTGCTCTCCTCTACATCTCTGCAGGCTGGGTGGAAAGAGAGACCTACTATTAGATTAGCAAAGCATCATTTCCTTCTCAATGTGCCCCCTCTCTCCTCCTCCTTCTCTCCCCCATCCCTCCTCACCCGTCAACATGCTCTATACAAGAAGATGACGTCCCACCCATCCTCCTCTCAACCCGCATCGCCCACAAGAAACACAAAAACCAACAGGACTAATGAGACAGGGGAGGGCAGGGGGGTACAACTCTTCGTCCGTGTCCTCTGTCCCCCTTTTTATTTTTTCTATTCAAAGTCTCTACAGCACTTGACCGCCAGTAACACCGTCGTGCTGCACCGCTGTGTGTGGACCGCCATGGAGAAGGGAGAAGGTCCGACTGTTCCACGGCCATCTTTGTCCCAGCAGAACCACAAAGGGGCAACTCCTGTCTCCACCCCTGTCCACACTGGTGTCTCCACTGCTGTCTCCAACTCACGTTTCTGCTTCAAGAAAAGTTCAACAATCATTTGCACCCTCAACTGGGTGGAGAAAAAAGTCACCCCCCCCCATGCGTTTTTTTCTGCCTGTGTTGTTGTTGTTTTCTAAAAGACAACTGGCTGTTTAGAAAAATAAAAATAGTTTGTGAAAGTTCATTTTTGGAGTTGGATTCTGAGAGCTGCTTATTTTCACAGTACACTGTCTCCCCCCTTTTGTACCTCACCTCTTCTTCTCTCCTCCCCCCGTCTATATGTGCGTTTGTCTGACTGTTTGTGAACAGCGTGCAAACCCCCCGTCCTTGTCAACTTTCACCACCCGACCTCCCCTTATAAGCACCCACCCCCCCTCGCCCCCGTTTAAAAAGAATAAAAATACAATCTGTGTCCTCAGAAAAAGAGATTTCTCTCTGATTTCATTATATAAACCAGTGGAAATGTTGAACAGGGCACCGTAGTCTAACTTACAAACAGCAGCCAAAAAAAGACCGAAAATGAAGTAAAAAGGATATCTCTTTTTCAGCTTGGTCTACAGTTTGTTTTGTGTCGAGTTTTGTCAGAAAAAGGAAATAAATGCTGTGTGACTTTATTCATGGCAGCAGTGTTGAGTCGTCTGTTTTCCTCATGAAGGGATTCAACAAGTCAGAGGACGTGTTTTGACAGTGAAAGAACCTTTGATCCGCTGCAATAACTTAACATTCATCAGCCGACCCAAGCAAGGCATCACCTCCACAACAAGCTTCACAGGTGGCAGAATTCACCTGTAGGTCATCACATGACCTTCCTGCATATTTGATCAAAGCATGAAAATGTAGATGTTTCAATTTTCTTATTTCTTAGCGCCTAAAACTATTGATGTGTCCTTTGACGGTTGGAGGCCGGAGAAAGGAGTTGTGAACAGGCCAAATTATTGACAAATACTCCGTACTAATGAACATGTCCTGAAGTCATTGGTCAGCGGTGTTTGTGTCCATCGTTCATTCTCGTGGTGTGAGCAGGTAGCAGTGCGCAGGCCGAGGGGAGCCGCTGACTCAGGTGAGTCCATTTCTACGAGCCACTGTCATTTTAAACGTGGTCATCGCTGCGAAAATATTCATGACAGCTGCTTAAATCAATCATCCATTCACGGGGAGGCTTCAAATCTACTGATGGAGAGCAGCTGATTCATGTTTAAGCAACCAGGACAAAAAACTCACAACGCAACAGCCAAGAAGGCAAATGATCAATGACCCGATCAGACCCCTGTGGTACCACAGGCCGGTTTGCTCGCTCATATAAGACTTTAACCTCGGCCTTCTTGGCATTCTGTTGACGTGAGTTCAAACCCAAAGTCTGTCCCCATCTCACTCGTTGCCCTTTTAAAGCTCTAGTTTAGCTGAGACAACAATAATCCAGTGCTACTGTATTGACATTTTAATTCATTGCTTTTTACAGAGACATGTGAACACACCGTTAGATGCGTGGACAAGTCGTCCCAAATCATGTGGACATCAGTGCTCTAATCCTTGAATTATTGTTTAGGTGATAGTGGGTTTACTGCCTTGGTCTGGATGTTCAGGTTGGGGTCCAAATCCATGATTACATCTGGATTTCTGGCTTCGTTTGCGGTTTTTAAAATCAGTGATTGAAGCTCAGCGCCGACTTTCAATCGTTTAACCTTGATGCCAAAAACAGTGACTTCTGTTCTCTCTTTGTTTGATTGACACACACATCCACCTGTTGGTTTGTACCCAGCGCCTGCGTTAGACAAGCCGAAGCAGCAGGACAACATCTGTCTTCAGGTTGGTAGAGACACAGAGGACATCTTCATGCATGATGCTGCACCATGTGACTCCGCCCCGCGATTGACTGGCGACCAATCCAGGGAGTAACCTGTCCCCGGGGGTGGGACCAATCCAGGGAGTAACCTGTCCCCGGGGGTTGAATCCCCCCCGTGACCCTGCATGAAGGACGAGCGGCTTTGAAGACGACTGACTGACTGACGGTGTGATTCAGATACAACCGGTGTCCCGACAGATGGGTCAAGGTTCCATTTAGTAAAAGGAAACACGTTGCACTTTATAATCAACGGCCTACTAGCAGATAATAATAATAATAATAATAAGGACATTTGTACAATTATAGATTTAGTGTTGGCTTATATTCACTTACTACTAATACTAATATTACTAATATTAAAACTATTCTACCCATTCATGTATAAATCAAACCTTATTGAAGTGAATCAGGTGCAAATGTTCCCACTCAATCTGCTCTTTAGACCATCACTGTGTTTTAATACTAAATAACTACATAATTATTATTATTATATATAATAACTAAATGAATGAACCTCGTCTCCTCCCTCTTCGCTGCGACTGTGTGGCCTCCAATAACAACCAGGCGGAATGATCAGAAAATCAGAATCCAAACGTCTGAGCTGCTTGTTCAGGGAGACGCATGACAACGCGTTGGTGTCGTGGTCCGTGTTTCATATTTACAGGACAGAACGGCTGCTGGTATTTCTCCCTCAATTAGAACTACTGGGGTCAAACGAGCGACGCGGGAACGGGTTCTAAAAGCAGCTGATCAGTTTCTGCTTTACATCAGATGTCTGAAATAACGTCTGAAGAGATTTTAACGTTTGGTTTCACCGAATGAAATCGGTCAGTAAATCTAAAATACGTGTGAATTTAGAAGCTTTCACGTTTTTCCTTAAATAAAAGAGACTAAACGTCCTCACTAGGACACGAGTACTAGTTCATCTAAATTCCCCACCTTTTTTTTTACCTCTAAACTGCTTTTACCCAATAACACACCGCAGTAGTGAGAGCATCCCTGCAAGACTTTAGTTACTTCAGTTCCCCAAACACATTGAGTTTGATGTTGTTTTAATTAATAAAACTGTATTTGTTATTCACACATGCTGAATGCAGCTCATCGACCTTTTTCCCTTTAAACCTTTTTTATGAATTACAGAAACATATCTTTTATTCTTTTAAAGCACATCAACAGACTTGGTCTTATGTGTGATGGTTTTACACTTCTACTGGTGAGGGTTTGTGTGTCCGTCCGTGTTTCATGAATACTATTACAAGGCTCACGGAGCAAATGAGTACTTTAGCCCACTTGACACACGCTCACACACACACTTCCCTCCCAAGGATATAGGTCACCTCCTTTGTGGCTTCCTTGTCTTCCTGTCCTCCGTTCCTTCGTGTGTGGACCCTCGTGCGACCTTTTGAGGATTTATTGTTGTTCATTAACTGCAGTAAACCACTTGTGTCCCACACAGACATTCCTCTGTTTTAGTTTTTTAAGTCAGAAATATTAATATGAAGTCCTGCTTTGTGTAATAATATAATAAAACAACACTAGAAGCATTCATGTTGTTCAACCATTTGTGTTGTAAGTACATATTAGATATTTCCCTAAAGTACACACTGCACACCTGGAGGTAAGAAGCAGAGAAGTACGGGAAGTCGGAGAAACACGTTGATGTCTACAGAGGAATAAATTACACTGTGAAACTCTTAAACTTAACGCTTTAATTAGAAGCCCTGTATTTGCTCACCATGCTCCATAATACAGTAAACTATGTAATAGAAGCAAAAACAATAATAATTATTAATAGTAACGTGTAACAACATCACACGTGTTTTGCATTTCTCAGAGAAACCTTTTTTACACAATAATAATTTGACACCAAACGATGAAATAAGGGACAGTAAATGACACCTACTTCTGTGATGACTGAATGCGCTTCTTCATTTATTCATTTTTTAAAACATGACAGTACAGTGTGATTTATTTCTGGGAAGTTGTCCTTCCACCATGACTTATGTGTCGTGAACGCGTGTTCCAGACGTGCAGAGTGCAGCTCCTCTGCGCGTGTGCGTGAAGCCTTGTGTGCTCAATGTGACATTTACACGGCGTCCTGCATGCAGGCCGCTCCCCCTTCGTGGTGTTGGTAACATCCCAGGAGCCCGCGTGGGCCGGACACCCTCGGGTGTGTGACCCCTCGGATAGAAGTATTCAATTCATGAGGACACACACACACACACACACGCAGCCGGAAGCCACCGACGAACGTGTGTTGGAATAAAAAAAATCAAGGAGACGCCTCAGAATCATGCTCACACACACACACACACACACACACACACACACGCACACACACCTCCTTTTCTTCTCCGCAATAACAACCACACTAAACCACCCTCCCTCTAAAACACACACACACACACACACACACTTTCTCTCAATCTTTTCCCCACTTACACTCTCACCACGTCTTTCCTCCAAATCACACACACACAGACACACACAGACACACACACACACACACACACCTTCTCTCGGTTACACCCGAAAGCTAAAACCCCTTTTTGCACACCTCCTCAACACACACACACACACACACACAGCCCATACCTTTCCTAAAACCTTTTTTCGTTTCCTCTGACACACACACACACGCACACACACTCGCACACACTGGCTCTCTTTTTGTCAAACCCCCACCCAACCCCACCCGCACCCCCGCCCCTCCCCCCAGTAATCTGGCTGGCCCGTGGCCTCCTCTCTCTCGCTCCACTGTTCTGTGTGATAGAATATCGATCGGTTTGCCTCAGCTCGGCGTGGAGCGGGGGGGGGTGTGTGTGTGTGTGTGTGTGTGTGTTAGAGAAGGGGGCTGGGAGGGGGATGGGGGGGGGCAGTGGTCAGACATGCTCCAAGGTTGTTACCACAGCAACAGCGACGGGTCAGAGAGTTGCCATGGTGCCTAGGTCGCAGGGTCAGAGGGAGGCTCTGTGTGTGTGTGTGTGTGTGTGTGTGTGCGTGTGTGCGTATGTGTGTGTGTGTGTGTGTGTGTGTGTATGTGCGTTCATTGGGGGGGGGGGGGGGGGGCAGAGGTGTCCAGTCCGGGTATATTGGGTGTGTTAATAATGAATGGTGTTGTATGTGGTCGCTGTGTCTTTCTCTCCCTCCATCTGTGTCTCTCCGTCTTCTTCTGTCTTTGTGTGTGTGTGTGTGTGTGTGTGTGTGTGTGTGTGTGTGTGTGTGTGTGTGTGCGTGTGTGTGTTTTCTGCGCAATAATACACAAAGCAGTAAAACATCAATTCATGTATGTATATATTTATTTATTCCTACAGAAATAGATTTACTAAATCTTAGGGAATGAAAAATAGAATTCTTGTTGTACTGCATTGTTAACAGTATTAGTGAATATTTGTATCTTTCTGTGAGAACTTCTTTATTTACGGTTCAGTACATCTCGTCTTTGTAAATTCATGGGCGGTATCACATTGTACTTGGTGACATATATATATGTATGTATTGTTAGTATATGGACATCACACTTACAGTAACATTTTAGATTTCAATATTTAAAAAGCCAGTAAAAAGGTGAATCATGGGACTTTTTAGAATGAGAACAAAGATAAAAATATAGTATAAAAGCATCATCAGATGTGTACAAATATGGATACAACAGGGTTCTTTTTTTGTTTTTCTCCTGGTGTTAATTCCAGCTGCTGGAGGAGAGCTCACATTGTTGGCGTCCTCCTCTTCGTCGTCTGAAGCAGCTACAGGAGACGCACACAACTCAAT